TTCCGAAGACTGAGGAACCCCGCTGCAGAAATTGACTTTGCTTGACCGGTGTACACAACCTGACGCCGACCCATAAGTAGGTTGCTGATCCATTTGAGGAATGTACCTCTGATTCCTATTCGCTCTAGTTTGTACAACAGCCTTTGTTCTAACACCGTTTCAAAAGCCTTTTGGAAGTCATTGACGGCGATGCGACCCGGATGTTTATCCTCAAGAGCTCGGGTACAGCCCTGGAGAGCTTGCTGGAAATTTTCGCAAGACCTTCCTGTTCGGAACCTGTGTTTGCGTTTTCACAAGAGGTCATGAGCCTCCAGGAATTGCATCAATTCACTCTTAATTATCCTCTCTATGATCTTGCCAAGGATTTCAAGCGTATGGGCCTGCAATCTGTCACGGACGCCTGGCTACCGCTTTTGTGTAGGGGAAATATGTACACTAAATTCCAGTTGACGTTGTGTGTTCTGAAATCAAATGAAATTTTAAAGAGCGCTGAAAAGATACGCAGAGTTCACAGACAAATTCTTTGAAAAGTCTGGATGGAATGTGCTCCGGTCCTTGAAATTTCGGCCCTTATAGTTTCTTTTAAATTCTTCAGATAAGTGAGAACAGGACACGACTAAACTTAGGAGTCAGTATGTTCTTTGAGGTCGCTTTATCCATGTTTTCATCGATTTCTACGGGTGTCTATATAATTGAAATTTTATTTCCGTTTCTTGTTCTTCTGTTGAGGTAGCCGTAGAGTAGTTTGAGATTCGCCCGGGATTTCAGACATATTATTAGCAAAGACAGGATTAAAAATTACTATACCGCTACATCAAATTCCGATCATGAAGCTTACCGCGGACGTCAAAATCGCTGAAAACGAGGATTAAGCCGAGTGATTTGCTCTACGCATTCGATCAGTCTACACAAATTACGAAACGTTCCTTCGGCCCTCCGCAGAAGAATCGCCAACACCAAGCATTAGTAATATTACGCTTTCAGAAGTTCGTATCTGATGGGAATCGGAGAAAATAAAAGAACCGAAATCTCTAGGACCAGACTGAATTCCATCCAAATTTCTTAAAGCACTTGCTAGTTAACTTTGTCAACCTCTGTTAGTGCTGTTTTAAAATGCATTTTACTCTGGAACACTTCCTGTCGATTGGAAGTTGACACATATAACTTCCTAACACAAAAGTGGTTATCGGGCGTGTGCGACTAATTACAGGCCCATAAGGTTCACGTGCATCCTTACCAAGACCATAAAGAGAATCATCAATAGCAAATTGGTTTAGTTTCTGGAGAGTTACAACCTGTTATCAAACTACCAATACGGATTACGAAAGGGATGGTCCTGTACAATAAACTTTCTGCTATCACTCCAGAGCTGAACCCGAGATCTGGAGGATAAGCGCGCGGTTGCCATTGCCTTCACTGACTTTCAAAAATTCTTCCGCACTGTGCCACGCCGGAGATTGCTTCACAAACTATAACGAATAGGAATCAGAGGTTACTTCCTCAAATGGATCGACAACTTCCTTGTGGGTTGTCACCAGGTTTCGTGCATCAGTCAAGAGAACTCAAGTTCTACTGCAGTTTACAGACGCGCTCCTAAGGGTTCAGCCCTAGTGCCCATCGTGTTGCCAATATATGTTCACGATTGTGTCTGAGTTTTGGACTGTGATACAGCTATGTTTGCGGATGAGATGAAAATTTAGTTTAATCCTGAGCCTGCCGACAAGGGTGGGCTACAGCTCGACTTTCATAGATTTGAAGAGTGATCGAACCCTTAGCTTCTGCGGTTCGACGTCGACAAGTGTACAATAGTCTGCCTAGACAATCTAGCCAGATCCAATAACCTTAGAAGCCACTCTCTCAACAATGCATCTCCACAAGACGTGGAAACTCAAAAAGATCTTGGTGCGCTGACGGTGAATCCTTTAACGCCCGCCTCTCATCGGTCAAGGGTAGCGAAGAAAACAATATTCATGTTGCACATGAGACTTTTCGGATTTCGCTGAAGACCTCCTCCCCAAGATTTTCAGAACATTCGTGAGGCTGCAGTTTAAGTATGCTAGAAAAGCGTGGAAAACCTGGACAGTTCAAGATCAGAATATTCTGGAAAAAGTTCAATGGATAGTCACCAAAATAGTTACGAGTCAAAGTTGCTTAACATATGCAGTCCACTTATATCCCACAATATTCTTTCTTTGAGTTATAGGCAAATTCGCTGGGATCTCCTACATGCGTTTGGCACTGTAAGAGGAATTGTTGGCTGCCCGGCGTTTAGGAGATCTTCAAAAATCGTCCGTTTAGACTGCTCGTTCAGCAAGCGGTGCTAGATGTACATTAGTTCTCCGACTCTGTCAGAGTGGTCACACCTGGAATGTCCGCCCTACAGATATCGTGAGGTCATGGTCGCTGGAGTGCTTAAAAGGACCCTTGATATATACACGTTCCAAAATGGGTCGGGACCTTGAGGGTTAAACTTCACCTTCGAAACTGTCGCCCCAAATGTGACATTTTGTAGTCCCGTTTGAACGCTTGCAACCCACAGGCTTTCTCAGTGCACTGAAGTCAATGTTAAGTTGCAAATTTTTCTCAAGTCTGACGACCTGGGGATCCAGTGTCGGAAATTTACTGAATAAATTTCCTCATTTTCCCAAAGGACGCCTTTCCTTGAAATTACATTTCTTGAGATGCCTGCCTTCCAGTTTATACGCTCATGTTTATTTTCCTCAATAAACTTAACCAAATTAGTGTACATTACCGACTGCGTCTTCAACCTGGGTTGCGATGCTACCATGTTTGCTGATAATGTTAAATTGCGGAAAACCATTAAAACTGATGCTTATAGGCAAACACTTCGAGAGCGTCTAAACCGAATTAGCATTGGTTCTGTCCACTGGGTCTTAAATTTTAACGTTAATAAGCGTGTGATTCCAGGACTCCGTTACAGAATGGTCGGCGAATAAGATGACTCCTCTCGATACTTCCTTGGTCAGTGTCACTTTCAAATGTTGAGGGACAGGAGGACCTCTGTTTTGCAACCCTCAGCCAAACATGAATTTTTGTGCAGAGTCGATAGTTTTCGTTATGTCTGTTGATG